CCCCCCCCCCCCCCCCCCCCCGCTTTTGTCTTCAAACTACCAGCAACATCCACACTAAAAATATTATGTAGAGACAATTAGCGAAATGGAATAAAAGAAGAGAAATTGATTAGAATCGCCCAACCCATGATTTTACTTCACACTTTCCAGTAAAGTTCCTTTTGGTATTTGGATTTTCTTGGGGGAAAAAAGGGTCATCTTGCCTGATGTAGGGCCTGGTCTAACTCCCACTGAAGTAGAAAGGAATCTTTGTATTGACTTTGGTGTGAGTCTGTTTGAAAGCCATTATAAGCTACACCTAGGTTATTGATGCAATTTCCTTTCTTGCTGAAGAAAGACTTGTGGGCATTTGACCATTGTGGAGTATGTCCTGTGTCCAATTCCCTCCTCTCTTCTTTCCTGCCTTCTCCCCCCGCCCCATTTCATGTATCTTTCAATTTTTTTTTTCAACTAACAACTAACTTGGTTATAACTTGATATCTTGAGAGGTATGGAATGTTAGGTGATAGTGATTTGGAGCCTCTTAAACAGTGGTGGAAATGTGTCAATTTTATGGAATTTTAGAGAAGGTAATTCTGATATTCCGCTAAATCTACCCTTCTATCTTTGCTTCAACACAAATGTAATTCTGATTGCTTACAGACTATCTCCCTCTAATGAAATAAATGTGGATGAGCCATACAAAAATATAATGAAAGACAAAGAAGGATTGGAGGTCACAAAAATGACTAATTTTGGAATGCTTAAGCTAGGGGAGAATAAGAATTTAATCATCTGGATAGAGTAAGCCCTTTCAATTATTTTTACATGAGTTTTGCCTTTTGACCTTGCTATTTCTTTTCTTCATCATTTCTTGCATCATTTTAGACTTTCTGAATTTTTTACCCTTATACATATAACAAATACAGAAGTGACATTCCTATCAACTTTCCAAACCAAATTGATTCAGTCATTGGTGACTTCTCAGTGTTCATCTTAATCTATTCACTTTATGAAATTAATCCTTAGTCCACATTTCACTAAACCAGTTTTCTCTTCAAAAGATGCTTTGCAAGTGGTATTTTCAGATCCTTAGATAAAAAGCTAGCTCCTAACCCAAACTACTCCTAAAATACTCTGTGGCATAAGCAAAGCAGTGCTACTCATTTTTATGTATGGATAAACTGCATAGAAATTAACCAACTTGTTTAAAGTCTTATGGCAAATAAACCATTCTTTCATGCTGAAGTAATCTCTAAAATGTAGTTAGTCTTAAACCTTTTTTGTGTTGTTTCTCTAACAGATCTGTTGCAAAACAACAGCAGCTTAGTTGTGTGAAGCTTTTTCTGCTACAAATATAGCATCTGTGCAGGTCTAAGAGATTCTATCCCCCACCCCAGCCCTGCCAGTATGCCACAGTGCTCTGTGCTCCAAAGGGGTGGGAGAGTAAATGAGAGGTGGAATCCCTGCCAGCCCACCCAGCCAGTGAGTTGTCGAAAGAAGCCCTGCAGGAACCCGGGACTGGGCAGCTCTGCCCCTCTTGCCACTGGCTGCAAGGGAGATGGGGCTTCCTGTGAGCCAGGAACATTAAAGGGCTTCTGGTGTCCCAAAGTTATAAGTGCTTTGAGCTTCTGGTGCCTGCAAGCCAGGAACATTAAAGTTTCCAGCCTACAGGCAGCCTAAGACTAGAGACCACTGCACGGGTGGTCTCTGGTCTTAGATTGTCCAGGAGTTGGAACTTTAAAGAACTGCTGGTGCTGGACCATCAGCAGCCTTGTAAAATGCCTGGTTTACAGGCAGCCCCAAACCAGAGACAGCCTGCCACTGCACTGGCCTCTAGTCTCATCCAGCAACAGCTGAACTGACAAGTCTATCACTGAGCTTGTCCTGTTTACAGCTCCCTTGGAGTCAAGAGGAGCCAAGAAGCAACTCCATATTGGCCTCTGGCTGTAAATTGAGCTTTTTGTCTCATTCTGTTCAGGGGCTATGTACTTGTGGTCATGCATGTTGCAATATGTTTTGTAAAGCAACCTACCCATAGCTTAACAAAAATAACATCCACCAGAGCCCTACATATCCCAGCAATTTGCTACCTTTCATTATAGGGAGACACCCTAATCACTGACCAGTGGTTAAGGTGTACCAGAATGTTACCCAGAGGTCCCACTTACTGATTTAGGGTATCTGTGAGGTTTTAACGTGATTCTTAACAGGTATATGATTAGATCCTTTCAAGGGTGCCACAGGGTGCAAGGAGATAAACACTTGTTCTTTCCCTACCCAGCCCCTATGCAAGAGGGTAAATGCAGGTTCTTCTTTGCGTGGCTCTAGAGAAAGCAAGTAAACTTACCTTGTCCCTGCTAGCCCCTGTGTGAGGAGCTAAATGCAGGCTTGCCAGTGCCCAGCTCCAGTGCAAGGAGATAAGATCATGATCATCCCTGCCTTTTTAATGTGCCATGAACCAAGTACTTTTTCCTCAACTCCTGGCACAGGGATGGGGCTAGAGGGAAGTGCTAAACTAAAATAAATTAGTTATTGAAATAAGGTGCTGCTCAATTCACACAAGCTGTGGAGCAGTGGTGGGCAAAATACGACCCATAGGCTGGATCCAGCCCCCAGATGATTTTATCCAGCCAGCGGGTGGGCACCCACCAACTAATTGTATCCAGCCTAGCCTGTAGCTGCCCCTGCTGCGCTCTGCTTGGGGCCAAGTCCTGCCCATTCCTGCCAGAGCAGCAGGATGCACTTCCACCCTTGGTGACAGGAGGACCCCAGCCCTGGCCTCAGCCAGTTTGCATAGCTTCCGGGCAGGACTGCTGCTGCTGCCGCAGCTGCAGCCTCCTGGGGAACTACTTGGCTCCCCTGGCCTCCAGCAGTTCCTCCTGCCACTCTTGTAGCAATCTGGGCAGCAAGTATGGAAGTGGCAGCAGGCAGGGGGAAGCTGCAGCTAGACAGAATCTTGGGAGCAGTGGGAGTCCAGAGCATGGGGCCTGCTCTGGGCAGGGCAGCAAGAGGATGATGCCCAGGTCAGCAGGAGCATGGGACTCAGGCTGGCCTGGTTTCATTGCACAGGGCTCCCTGCAGCTCACTTGCAGGTCCCAGGACTTGCGCGTTGCCAGGGGGAACCCTGCATCGCCAACTTCCATCACTGGTGGCCATCCCCGCTCCCTGCCACCACACAATGCCTGGGACTCTGCTGGGTGGTGGTAGGGACCCCAACATGATGGAGCCGGGCCGGTTTTGCCCCACTCTCTGCCACCCCAGCTGAGTCCTGGGAGCTGCACACAGCAGCTGGAAGCAGGGTCAGGCCTCTGGCTACATTGCATGGGGCCTCCTCCCCCCACTGCCAGTGACATGCAGCTCTGGCTGAGTCCTGGGAGCTGCATATAAGCTGTGGAGAGCCCTGTGTGATGAAGCCAAGCCAGTCTGGTGTTGCACCCTGCCACCACGTGCAGCTCCCAGGACTCAGCCAGAGCCATGTGCCACTAGAGGACTCTGCCTGCTCCTGGCCATAAGTGCCCTGAGGGTCTGCTACCTGCTGATGCTGCCAGCAGCAGGGGCGAAGTGCTATGGGGGGAGGGGGTGTGCAGGAGGGGCTCCCACACACACACCCCACCATACCCCCACACCCCTCCACAAACCCTGTGCCTACCCATGCCCTCCCCCACACTTCCCACAAACACCACATCCACCCACACACACACCCATACCCCTTCCCAAAAGGAGTACTTCCTTTCTGGGGGGCTCCAAGATAGTAAACCCCCAGGAGTACTTCCAGGGGCAAGGAGAGGTTCTTCCAGTGACAAAGGTCAGGGGCTTGGGGAAGGACTTCTGGTCCCAACGTAGCTACCAGGGGTGGGGAACCTGTCACAGGGTGGGGCTACCCTTGCAGCCCTCAACAGCTTATCAAAACTCATTATGTGGCCTTCCAGAATTGCCCACTCCTGCAAAAAGGGAAGCCAGGAGCTTACAAAGATTGAGAGCCACTTCCCTGAATCCTCAGGAGTTTAAAAAAATACCCGAAAAAGTTTTTCAGGAAGTTTGTATCTATTGAGGGTAGAGCATCAAAATGTAACTGAAGCTGACCCAGCATTAATTGGTGTGTTCTATATTGCAAGTAAAGTTGTTTTTCTTGTAAATGTTATTTTATAATAATTAAGTCCATATTTAACTGTTAACTACTTCTAGGAATAAAGGAAATGAACCACACTCCTTAATCAGTTGCAGATTAGCTGGCTGGGTAAAAGAAAAGCAGTTTAGCTTTCCAGTGCCTGAAAAAGACCAGAAGAATTCACTGTCTTCCTCGTCCCTTCCTGTAAAACATGAGAGCCTCTCAAAAGGAGTCATTAAGTTACTTGATGAAAGCAGCAAAATGGTTTGGCAGTCATTGAATAACACAGCAGTTACCTGGAACGGAGTCCTGAAAGGTACCTGTGAGAGGATAGTGTAAATAAATGCAGCATCCAACTTCTTAAATATTGGAATGTTTCAAGTGGGCCTCATTGTTCCACTTTACAGTAGTACAGCTTACTGTCTTTTTTTTTTATTTACTACAGAAGAAACTAATTCCAAGGATCCAAATTTAGCAAGACAGAATGAAAACTGTGTTGGAGAAAATAAAAAGCCATGCAACAGAGAAAATGGACAAAGAGAAAGTGTGAAAAAACTACCAGTACTTGAGGTTGAAGCTAGTGAGGAAATCTCCATACCACCAGGTGGAAAGACTTCCATTGTGATCATGTGTACTGCAATGTAGGTGTGTTTTTTCTTTATTTTAGCTGCTGTGAATCATGAGTCCATGTTTTTAAAAGTGGCCAGTTGTCCCAATATTGACATCAGGTTCTCAGGCATAAATCATTGACTGCAAGAAAAGTAGCATGAGAATGTGAAAGCTAAATTGAACTAATCTCTTCCTAATTTGTGACACGGAAACCTCATATTTTAATTTTTAAGTTGCCTGCATTTTAACATCTAATTCTGATTGCTGTTTAAAAATCAATGGAGAAAATAAATATAGAAGTAATAATGCTACTAAAGCATGAGGCACAGCCATTGCTCATCACATTGCCCCTGAAAGCTGTCCCCAGCAGGGCCCTACCGAATGACTGCCATGAAGTACAAGCTAGCCACAGCAGCACAGTGGTCTTCAAAAGCTAACATATCTTGCCAAGAAGTAAGGCAAGCTTAAAGTTTTAACAGTGGCTTTTGCTTTGACCATGCAGTACCAGGTTGTGAAGTTGGAAACTTGTGAAGAGAGCTTGACATGGGGCCAGTTCAGTGCAGAAAATAGGTAGGGAATGAAATAAATAGATGTTTCAGGGTAAGAGCTATGATAGTATGGAACATTCACCCTCAAATTTTACTTTAGAGGAATCTGCGCTCCTTTTTTTCCTCTGCTACGGAAAAGAAATCGTACATTATAGAGATGAAAAGATGAGGCCAAGCCTCTTCCACTTTTTCTGCAAGTTATTCAAAGTGTATGATGAATACTTGTCATCCAGTGAAGTGTTCACTGTTCATCATATTTTAAGGGGAGAAAACCTCTAAAAATATATCACTAATTAACACAGAAAACTTAAATGTATAGCAGTAACTAATGAGAACAAAATATCCACTGCTGTAGGGTAAGAGATACTCATCCAGAATGCCAGTCAGCAGTAGAGAGGGGCTAAATGTTGGAAATGCATTTTGCTAAATGTGGAAATGTGTTCCTTTCACTTATAGGAACAGTAGAGTTTTTTGAGACTATGGTGGGAACAAAATTTTCAGAGAAATTTCACAAAGCAGAGCAACATTTTAAATTTTGACATACAGACTTTGGAGTTTACTTGGAATTTAGTACTGTATTTTCATCTACCACGGACACCTTTTTTTTCAAAAATAAGTTGTTGCAATTTGGGGTCAATGTGTTAAGTGAGGAAATACAGCCACCAAGCCCTGGGATACCCTCAAGTTTGAGCTGCTGCCAGAGCAGATGCTCCTGCTGAGTTAGTGGCAGTAAAAACTCCTGCTGCAGATGATGCTACTGACTTGGCAACAGCATCTGGAGTAGGAGATTAAATGCTCTTTAGCAGACAGACATAGTAGCCACTTATAAGTTTATCAAGGGAGGACAACAGAGAATTGGAGATGCGCTATTTACCAGGGCACCCCTAGGAATAATGGGTACAAACTAATGGAGAGTAGATTCAGGTTAGACATTAGGAAGAAATTTTTCAAAGTGAAGGTGGCCAGAATCTGGAGCAGGCTGCCAGGAGAGTTGGTGCTATCACCTAGCTTGGCAGTCTTCAAGAGGAGGCACCTGGCTGGGGTCATCTAACCTTGGTCCTTTTTGCTGCCCGGGGGAGGGGGTCGGAGACTATGATCCTTCGTGGTCCCTTCTGACTCTACAATCTATGAAACGGGGAAAGGGATAGTACACCCAGCTGCAGCATGGCTGCAAGTTCCAACTGGTAGGGCACTGCATTGAGGCTGGGCTGCTTTCAGCTGTGCCTCCACTGTACCCCCAGGGTGAGAGGGGGAGCAGGAAGAAGGAGCAGCATGGACACAGTATGCTGATACCTGGTCCTGGTGCAGTTCTCCATGAGCTGGAAGCTGCTCTACAACTCAAGAGTTGGGGTTGAGGAAAGCAGTGGCAGCACAGGTGCAGCTCCCAGTTGTCTGGAACGTGCATGGGAAAAGCTTCCCTGCTGCTGAGGTGTCACTAGAGCCAGGTGGTTCCATTTAAAAGTCACCATCCCCTGAGCCAGACTATTAAGAGCAGCCACAGGTTGTCCCTTGCTATCTTCCACCCTCACTGGCTACTTGTGTTTTCAGTAATAGCAAAAAAAAAAAATCTTTACATCATTCTGCCTTCGGAAAACTGACAGTCTTATTTAGGAGCATGTTGTATGCGAGTAAATACAAGGCGTTAAAAAGGGGTTCATTCTGTGGGGGAAGGAAAGGCAGTGTTAGGTGAACTCCAGTGAAGCACTTCCAAAGTTTATATATGAAGAACTTCATTTAAATCAGCTATTGTTTCACTTTCCAACAGTGTCATTAAAAGGAAAAACTTGGTGTCTTTCAACAAAATTGTATTAGCTGAATAAAAAGGTAAATCTGCTTATCTTTTTTCCTTAAAGAAACCCTGGGCACTGCAAAGAACTCCTGTTGCTTTGTTTTTCTGATTTTATTATTGGACGTTATCTTGAAGTGACTGTAATAAATGAAGAAGAATTACTAATAGCTGCCACTCGACCATTCTCTTCAAGAAAGCATAACATTACTACAGAGCCTCAAAACTTAAAGACAACCGTGGTTATAACAGAACGTAACAGAAGGTACTGTGAAATAAGTCACAAAAATAAATTTGACTTCATGTTTGCTAGAAGGGCTTACCTTCTTATAAGATGCAAGCGAAGTATATTTGTAACTAATTCTAGGACAGATTTTATGTACTGAACTAGCTTATCCATAGTGTTAATTGCTGTTATTTTGTAAAATGAAATAGACTGGGTTTATTTTTAAAGTTGCATTGGTAGACATTTTTCTAGGAGACTGATCTCAACCCTTTAGCTGGGTCTGTTTGTCAAAGGTACACAAGCTGTTTTTGTACATGAATGGCAAAGATGGTAGAATTAAAGCTGTTATCACAATGCACTTCCAATTGGGGTTGCATAATCAAAGGGTGGAAACCAAACATACTATTTGAAATATTTAGGACCTAGAAATATTTAAAGAACATAGTGCTTCAGCTGAAGGACATGCATGTAGCCCCTGTCCTTCCCCCCTGCCCCCCAGCTGGAGCACTTCAAAACCACTTCCTACCATAGCAAGCTCTTCAGCCTAGGCGTGCAACAAGAGGATTTGATCACCACCTGATTCTTCTTGCCCCTCCCTCCATGGGAACAGAGCCACCTTAGTGCTAGAGTACAGGCAGTAGTGGCACCCCAACAGGCAGGGAGCACCTGGAGTGCTGGAAGCAAGAGTGTCTGGTGTCCTGAGTGCTGGAGCCTCAAGGAACACCCCAAGTGCCAGGAGCCCCATTGCAGGGAGCAGTAGCCAAGCCAGTGGGAGAAGGTGGGGCTTAAATAGAGTATACTGGGTTTTGGGATGCTGGAGGACTGACAACCTGTACAGACATGCAGTAGAACAAAAGGGTCCAAAATATGACCCGTCCCCTGTAGGTGCCATTTTGTCACACTTACTAACTATGAAACTATAAAATCTCACTGCATATCTGTATAATACTGCTTTGAAGTATTTCAAAGCCCTTTGAAATGTTTCAGAAGTTATTTCTGTCTACGCTCTAGGATTATATTTAGCAGGATTGAAACCCAGGGAGCCCTTTGACAGAACTACTGTGGAGGTTGGGGTGAAGGGGATAGGTTTGTCTCTTACACATTTTTGACACGTGTCTTCATGAATACTAATGAGAAAATGTGAATGAAATGAAATAAAAGAAAATGAATGTAAGCCAGTTGGTGAATCTGAAAAGTATGAGAAAATACCAAAAAAAATTAAATACTTGAATTTTTATTTTAGAAACTGTAGAAGACAGCTTCCAAGCTTCCTTCCACATTATCCTATACCAAGTAGTTTAAGACGATGTGTCGAACAGAAATTGGACATACTGCTTTTTCAACCTCTTCTTGCGGAGGTATGCATGTACAAGTGTATGTTAGTAAAACATCATTTTCCAGCCCTCTATAAATGGCAGCTTGTGCTCAAATAGTAGTTCCTATGCAACTATTGTTACAATAGTTACAGACCACCTAACACTACATGTATTTTAATATTATAAAAACCTTAGTCTGTCTGTCTGTCACGCTTTATTCATGCTGTAATTGGCTGACTGAAACAGCCAATCAGAGTGCAAATACAGCATTGGGACAGGAGGTGGCAGCATAGCAGAGCACGGCCATGATGGGGGGCACACAAGGGACAGAGCAGCAGGGTGTGGCCAGCTCTGCTGGCCTCGCTTCCCCCCTCTTCCCCCACCCTGCTACCTGGAGGTGGCAGATGGAACGGGGGGGGCAGGGGTTGTAAGGACAGTGCTGGCCTCACCGCCTCCCGCTCTGCTCCCTGCAGGTGGTGACAGTGGAGTGGCGAGGGGGGTGAGGCCACCAGAGCTGCCCTCACCCCCTCCCTTGCTCCTTAGAGGTGGTGGCAGCAGTGCAGTGGGGAGTGGGGTCAGGATGCCCACAGGGGCAAAGCCACCAGTGCTGGCCACTGCCTGCCCCTCCCGCCTTCCATCATTGTTGCCTGCAGGGCTGAAGCGGTGGTGGTGGGGTGAGGAATTGGCCCAGTGTGGGGAGGAAGGGGGGAGAGAAGCCGGCACGCTGCTGTGGTGGGGGAGGAGCAGTGGGCCCAGGCCGACACGGCAGCAGAGAGGAGAGGGGAGGGGAGAAGCGGGCCTTCTGCCCTGCTCAGACCCGGGTCCACTCCTCTGCCACTCTTCCCATCCCCTTCACCACCACTCCAGTGGGCCAGCTTTTTCCCACCCTTGGGTCCCCAACACTCTCTGCATCAGGCCCACTGCTCCCCTGCCACTGTGGCGGGGAGGGGGAGGAGTGGGCCCAGACCCCAAGCAGCAGGAGGGAAGGGGGAAATGGACCCGGATGGGTGGGGCACAGGGCTCTGTTCTCTCCCATCATTCTTGACCAGCATTTAGCTAATTTACAGTATAAGAGGCTGAACCTAGCAAAGCACCCTTAACTTAAATGGAACTCAGTGTCTTGTAGAACCCACACAACTGAACAAAGGAAGCTAAAAGAAATGAAAAGTGAATGAAAATTGTATTAGTGTCATGATGAGAGAGTCTACTATATGACAGAAGCTGTTTCTTTCACAAGGAGTAACTCCAGAAAGGAACTGGGAGAAGGTTGATGTAGAATTAACAGAAATACGTTGGGTGAGAGATGTGATTTGTCAAGTAGGCTGAAGACCATTTAAAATTACTTTGTGGGTAATAGATTCAGTGTTTCACAACTCGACAATGTGTCCCATATGTTCCCCAACATATCTTGATGAAGTGCGTAGTCCTGAATGGCTAGGCAATTCAGCCCAGTGATTAGAGTTCAAACTACTTATGCAAAAAAAACGCACACAACTCTGGCTTGTTTCTGTTAAATCAAAATGAAAGCATAGTCTCTGGCTACCTTCCTTCTCTGCAGTTGAACATTTTATACGTTCTAAAAGTGTGTGTGTGTGTGTGTATGTGTGTGTATTAGAAAATTTTTTATATAGATAAAATGGAGTAATGTATATGTATATATGGCAGCTTTTTGTCTCTGAAGATCCACATACTGGTTTCTTTTCAATATTTCGTTGTCTATGTCATAACAAAATTCTTTTGAGGATCTAATTAGTTGCTTCGCCTTAGTTTCTTAGATAGGCCTCAAAGGCTGCTCCCAGATGTGCATGGATATTTGGTTTCCTGGGGACAACTAACAGCAGTGCACCTTGTGCTGCTGCTGGTTGTCCCCAGGGAACGCCCATGCCATGCATGCTCTGGCACTGGGTTGGCCTCTGCTGCAGCCCTGGAAGGCCCCCAGGACTCCAGGTACAGCTGCTGTGGCAATCTTGCCACATGGAGTCTGACCAACAGCAGAGCACAGCTCTGGCCGGTCAGGCTCCTACTTAAGGTGACATACGCTGCCGCCATGTGTGCCACTCCACTTTTTTTTCTGTGGGTTTTTTGACCCCTGGATATCCAGGGGTAAAAAAAACAAAAAAAAACAAAAAAACAACAACCCTCAGCATTGCTCCCTTGCAGCACAGAGAACAACTGAACATGCAGTATGTGGCACCGCAGATGTGAGCATGGCTGCACACATCTGTATGCAGCCAAAAACTCCTTACAAGACTTAACCAGAATGTCATCTGGCTTGATGAGATGTCTATTAAGCAGTGAAACAGCTAAGCAATGATGCCCTCTTCTGGAAATGTCAGATCTGTATACTGTCACATGCCATTTTACAAACCAAGAAAAGTCTTGCCATATGTTAGTCATGTAGTTAATTAATCTACTATGAAGCATGTGACAGAGTTTTAGGTAACAGTAGTTGCAGTAGAAATATCAGGGCGTTGTCTGTTTAAAAGAATTTGATAGTAATGCCACCTCTGCATTCAGTGGGAAATTATAGTATAGAAGGACTGTAAAGGAACTCAAGAGGTCATCTAACTCAGTGGGGGCTACCCTTTTTGGCTGGCATACTACAGTTTAGCCCCACACCCTCCCTGAATGCTGTTTCAGTCCTCTTTCCCTTGCCTGATCTGCTGCTGTGCTTCCTTCTCTTTGCTTACAGCCTAATTTTCTACCTTGCTTTCTGCTTCCTGCCCTACCTGCCACTGTGCCACATGCCTCACCCAGAGGCTGTCTGTGCCACTTAACACCCAGACTGCAGGTTGGCCACTCCTGATCTAGCCCAAGCTCCTGCTCAGGGCAAGATAAGTGCAATCTAAGCCATCTCGTACAAATGTTTATCTAACCTGCACTTAAGCTTTAGTGACACAGATTACACAGCCTAATGGCTTGTATTTGCTTTTGGCCATATCAGTCCCTGGTATACAAGAGCCATCGGTTGCTGTGGATTTTGCTGTTTATTTTCAAGGCTTACATGGGTCTTGAAATGGCTCAGAAGTGGAGACACTTGTGCAGAAAGAGCCACCTCAGTGGGAGCCTGGAGTACTATGTCCAGTTTTGGGCCCCATGTTTTAAGGCTGTGGACAAATTGTCACTCTGTGCTGGACTCTTTCCAGAAATGATTAGAGGCCTGGGAAGTAAGACTTATGAGGAAAGGCTGAGAGAATTAGGGTTCATAGATTTCATAGACACTAGGGCTGGAAGGGACCTCGGAAGATCATTG